GAGGCTGACCCCGGTTTTGAAACTGAAGGATGGAAAATCCTGGCATCAGGTGAGGCCTAGACTTATCAGGGTATCACTTCATAAATTACATCAATGTCTAACCACTATGCTGTACACCTGAAACAAATGTAAAAACAGTGAATGCTAACTCTAATTGAAAAAGAGAAAAAAAGTCCTGGCATCAACTTTGAAAATCAGTGGCCTATCGAAGTTTAGGGGTGGCCATCCCCAGGAAGGGCAAATACCTCCCCTTCTGCCCAACTCCATCCTCACTCCCCTTCTGTCTTCTGACACCTGGTGTCCGCACTTGGCTCCCAGGCCCTGGGACTGATGAGAATAACTAGACATCCTTTTCTGAAAAGCTGCCAACTAAATCTCCATTCTTTTAAAGGTCACCCTCCCTTAAATTGGCCTGGTTTTCTGGAATTCCTCCGCTTGTGCAGCCAAGGGAGACTCATTCTTTCTTCTTCCCTGAAACATCAAATTTCACTCTTACAGAAGGAATATAAAATACCATCCTGTTCAGCAGAGCTGATGTAAATATCTAGCCCGAAGCAGGCCTTCGACATGGAATGTCATCAGCAGAGGCGAAGGGAAGCTGATTCTTAACCCTTAAATACTGAAAAATACAGTGTTAGTGGGAGGCACAGGGTAAGTACAATATTTGGTACGTCCATAGCAGGGAAAGGGCTCAAGACTCAAAAGGGCTTCCCGGTGGCGGACTGAAAGCACACAAATGTAAATTCATCTTCCCCGCAGGCAGACCCCCTCAAACATCCCAGTGTTCCTCTTCAGAGCCAACAGTCCCCTACTGTTCAAGGTCATTGGCAGGGATTAATCCTGATGCTCTCCCTTTAGGGTACCCTAATCATCCAACAGCCTCGGTTAGCAGGAACTTTCATTTGTGACCATTAAACAAGAGAGAAAGAATAGAAAAGGCAGGAAAAACGAGCCGAGGTGAACCAGAGGTAACCGACCGGGGGTTTGGCACGTCCACGAAGCGGGTCACACTTGCAGAGGCTGCTTCTATCACTGTAACTAGAGAAGCACGTGGGTCCTGCTACTGCTGAGGAGGAAAAAAGCGAGCTGGCTCACCCCCTTTTCCAATAGTGAAAGCAGCAAGCAGGTCAGACTGTCGGGGCTCCGCTGCCCCCAGGGAAGAGAACCTCAGAGCAGCTCGGTGCACCGTCCGTCCAGCCCTGTGATCTGGGACCACTGCCTCTGGCAGCAGTCAGTACAGGGCGGGAACCCCCGACTGGAGGCAGAACTTCCCGGTTTGAATCTCGGGTTCATCCATGACCAAGCCAGACAAGCCCATGTTTCTTTCTCAAAAAAAAAAAATAGAGGGGCAGGGACAGCCAGCTGCACAGAGATGAAATAAGCAAGGGGCAGATCAAGCCAAGCAACCACATTATGCCAGAGAAAAATCAAAAGGCAAACTCGAGTCATGTCATTTCAAGGCTTATTTCAGATCCACAAAGGGAAAGCTTGTCTTCGTCTCTAAAAACCTCAAGAAAAGTGTTTCATGGCTTCTAGGTCTAGCCCGAACCCTTCTTTCTTCTCGCCCACGTTTAAGGCCCTTGGTTTCACAGCAAATTCTCACAATGGGGTCCTCCTGTGTTCCCTGCCCTTGTAATATGTTTTCAAGCCCATCAATCCCTCTTCAGTAAAGTTTCTTGCTTCCATTTATGTTGTATCTTGGAGAAGGGAAGACATGGGAAATAAACTTACATGTTTTGTAGATGTTTGTAAAACATAATGCTTTCTAAATGGTATAGATTACAAACCCAGTTTTAAGGACCAAAACTCACTCATTTTAGTTTTCCAATCCTCACTAGACCTTTACTAAGTGAAATGATGGCAAATATTTTGGATTGAAAGCTATCTCACTGCATGAATGTGTGACTCACTTGGAGCATATGCACCTACAGACAGGGTACCTACTGAACAAAGCAGCGGAACATACTGAGAGCTAGAAGATGCTGCCTCCATCAGGTGAGAACACGCTGATGGATAAGGGAGACAGAAAGCAGTCTCCCCCTCCAGCCGCCCGAGGCAGAGGGTGTGTCGCCAAAGGCAAGGATGAGAATGAGTTTTCCCCTGGATAAGAATGACTATCAAACAGAACCAAGAGGAAGTGCTTCAAGTTAGAGAAGAACATTGAGAAAACATTCAGAAATGGTCAGATGTTATAAAAATTAATTTCAAGCAGAGAAGCAAGATAGGAAACACTGGGTAACTATTGTGCATTAAAAGCCACTGTACAGAGCTAACAGATCATTCATTAAGTTACAACAAACAAGATACAATGGATTGATTAGCATGCCTACTCAATGTTAAATACAAATGATACGTACTGAAATTGTGACAAGCAGACAGCATGTTACAGACATATCTAAAATGGTTTCTGTGAATTAAAATTTGTAAATGCCGTAGAAGAATTTGTCAAAGATGTCTGCCTTCCAATTCTTCACCAAAGGAAAGAAAAGTGCATAAAGTACCTGGTCGCTCCTCTAATTCATCTCATTTGTAAACCCTGCATTCATTCAAACAACAGGTAAAGTAAGGCGACTCACAGAATAAATACAAATGGCTCAAACATGCCTGAAAACATGCTCAGCCTCGCCCTGGAGATGGAATGGGTGAGCAGGGTGGGGGGCGCAGGGAAGGCACCTTTTCATCTACCAGAGCAAAAATGAAAAAGACTGATATGAGCCAATACTGGTAAGAAGGAAGGGAAAAGATTACGTCTCATAGATTAATACTGAAAATATAAATTGGAAACTATTTGGAGAGCAACTTAGTGGTACTCATTAAAATTTAAATGTATACACACTCTTCTAGGTATCTATTATAGAAGTACCTATACAAGTGTCCGAGGGTTTTATCAACAGTAGTATTTGTACTAACAAGTGCATATAAACTATTCAAATACCCATCAAGAGAAAAATGGGTGAATAAATAGCTACAGCCACGCATGCAACCACTAACGAGAAGGTAGAACTGATGTTTTGACATAAAATGGTACCCACCACATACTGCTGAGCAAAAAAATTAAGTTGCAAGATGATTAAAAGTTTGATCTGTTTTTAAAAACACTAAGTATGTATGACTGAGTAAACCAACAGGTATCTTAGAAGTTATCACTGAGGGTGGAAAGAAGAGGGTACACATTTTTATACAGTGTTCAGAATTTTTGCAACTATCATTGTGTGTGTGTGAGTGAGATTTAGGTAGAAGGGAGTTATGCTGCGACTACTAACCTGCTCATTTACTAAAAGTTCAATAGGTGCTCCATGAGGAGAAACCACTCAGGTTCTCCCTTGTAGTCTAATAATGCAGCCGCTCTGATTTTTACCAACAAAGTTTGCTCAAAAGAACAGGCCTGAAAGGGACCAATATGAACCTGAGGTTTATTTATATGCAGAAAATCATAGTTCATAAAATACCATATTGCACTCAGTATGATTTAGAAATTTGAGTAAATACTTTTTCTTATAAGTTTCCATAGGTCTCCACCGGACACATTACCAATGTGAACCATGTTAGTCACAGGTTTACATCTGTAAATAACCTAAAGTCATGTTCAAGCACAGACCCAAATGTTGCCTGCAAAGTTGAGGTCTACAGCTTTCAGAAGTGGGAAGAGTTACACCTTCATCTTTTATAAAGATACTGGTGTGATACACCTTTCTCTTTATTCTCTTTCTTAAAGGACTATTCCTTGACTCTGCCCCCCCAACCCACATAACTCTCAACATGATTTATTCAATAGGGGTTTTAAGCAACATTGTAAAGGAAGGTAAAGTATTAATTAGAGCACAAAATAGCTGCATCTAAAAACGTTTAGAAAATGTACAGGGTGGGGCAAAAAGTAGGTTTGTAATTATTCATATGGAAAATGCAATAAATAAGAATAACCTGGTTTGCGTACTCACAACTATAAACCTACTTTTGCCCAACCTGTATGTAAAAAACAGGCTCACAAATATACGGCAAATCTTAAAGGTAATCAACTTACTAGCTGATTACTTTTAAAACTGTAAATGTACATAACTGTAAAGGTACAAAAAGCACACACAGTGTCTCTCTCCCTCTCACGCACTTAACATTAAACAGTGTTAGGATAATATTTTCCAGGCTAGGATGTACTTTCCACTTGCCCTATTAATAAACCTATGCCCAGATGGGACATGTAACCAGAACTAAATAAACATAATATAGACAGTGAACAGGAGAGCCAGAAGGTAGGCTAATAAACCCAGGATGCCTTCACAAACTAGAAAATGCTTTAAAAAAAAATTAAATAGACTAGAAGTACAAAATGTTTTATATGTGACATATGAAATGGAGAGTCTAAAAAGTTATATATGTGACATGTGTAAAATGCAGCTACAAATTAGAAGAAGAGAATAATTGATTTCTTTCCGGATGAAATGGATAGCATCATATGTTGTCACATAGTTAAGCTGAAGAAAAAAAATGTGCCTCCTACTAGAGCAAAGAGTCATCAAATGAGTTACACAACTTTAAAACACGTAACTTTGTTCTGGATGATGATCACTTATCAAATAACAAACAACTTACAGTATAACTAACGTGTGGCCTAAAATTAGGAGTCGAACTTACCACATGGGTAAAGGATGAACAAAAAAGACGGAGGAGGAACCAGAAAAGCCACATGACGGTAAAGTGATTCCATTTTTTTTTCCTGAACACCCACACAAAGACAGCAGTTTCTGACAAGAATGTTCTTGGCAAAAGATAAAATTACAGGAAGATTTCTTTTTTCAATGAGAAAAAGGCAATTCTATATGTAGATTACTAGGCAATACCGCATGATTTTTTTAAGGCCCAAATTTAACGTACAGCCCTCATATTTTAAAAATATATAAATAACTTTTTTGGATGACAAAGAAAAGAGGGCTGAAGTACGGTTCCTGTGTGAAATGCTTACTTCATATTGCGCTGGAAAGCGGAAATCGAGCGTGGCGGCTTACCTTGGCACTGGAAGCCTTGTTTTCCAAACCCCCTGAAAAACAGAAATGAGAACAAAGTATCTTAACATATTTTGTGTGGGATGCCATATTTTAAGCCAGTTATGTGACAAAGCATTTTACAGAGTTAAAGGTATGTACGGAAAACCCAGTGATTCGATAGGAAACACACGCCTAAATAGCTCGGAGGACTGTATGAATCCAACTCAGAAAAGGCTGCCCGGCCTCCAAAGGCTCCCGGAGCTATTTCGATGCACCCGGATTCTTTCCCAAGTTTTACACTGTTATCAATACTTAAATTTCAAGGCAAGAACATAATTGTACATTCAAACTGGTTGGCCATACTATTCAAATAACATAAAGGACCTCATGGGGGAAAAGAAACCCTAAGTGGCTTAATTTGGTCCCTAAAGACCAACTGAAAATTATTTTTTCTCCCTAAAGACAGTTAAAAAGTGGATTCCTCATTTGTAATGAATTTGTTTAAAATATTCATCTACAAATTGCCAAAGAGCACCACTCTTAATAGTAAATTTTGTCTTAAAGGAGCCAGATTTTATAAAGTATTCCTATTTTTGTATTTGAGACTATGATCTAATGTTTACTGTGTACCAACAGCATTTGAAACATACTGAGGCTATTTTGTTCTTGAAAGTCACTTTAGAGAATTTACTCTCTAAGTGAAGAAACTTGACATGGGTATTAAACTGCCAACTCTGTCCTAACTAGGATGAACTGCTTTAATTTTTTTCAGATTATTAGTCATAATGTCTTGCTTTGTGAAATCACTTCACATATTTTATCATTAACTTAGTCATTTGCACACCTCCACCCCAAAAAACCATACTTAAACCCCAAACACTTAAATTATCAGTGCTTTCATATTTAAATAAAACTCAAATCAAGGGCCCAGAGAAACAATGATGAAAGCACACTGAGAAATTAAAACCACAGCTAGACAAGCCTGGTGGATATTTTCCTGGAACTCGTGAGTGGCTGCTTTACAGATAAGTGGAGAAATGTTGCAGGGGTTACTCAGGGAAGAGAAGATAGGGCAACCTTTATTTTCCACTTCACCTTATACCTGGTGACCCAACGCCCCACATCAGTCCACCAGGGGCTATTCCTTCAGGGCAACTGATAGTGGAAAGACATTTGCTACCCTGCGTATACATGCTGCAGTCCCTTTTTCTAACTTACCTACTTTCTGCAGGAGTCATCAGCAGTCTGACTGTCCCTTTTCATTGGATTTCACAGTCGACAGGGGAGGCTGAAGACCTGCCCTCAACTAAAGGCAAATGATCTTTCCCTTGGTGCTCCAAAAACTTGTTTTAAATGGCCTTATCTACAATTACCTACTCCTTGGAGCTCAATCGCTTCTTAGGCTGACTACACAACAGAAATCATTCATAGAGGTAGCTGTGCTTTTTGTAAGTGTAGTTTTGAACAGATTTCTAAAAAGGAAAGGAAAAATGAAGCACCTTAGCACCACACGTGTGGGACTCTCCCTCAGAGATGATATTCTCCAGGTGTGACAGATGCAAATAAAGCCAGCCCCATAAAAACTAAGCACCTAATTAGCACCACGTTTGTGGGGACTCTCCCTTAGAGGTAATACTCCCCAGGTGTGATGGATTCAAATAAAGCCGCCCATAAGAGAAAAATTAAACATGGTTAGCACCACGTTTGTGGGGTTCCCCCTTTGAAGTGTTTTTCCCCAGCAGGGATGGATTCACACGGAGCCACCAATACTTCTCCCTAGGGCCCCAACAAGATAAACAAGACACGCAGCTAGCTGGTGGCAGGGTGCACTCTGTGGCACTGTCGTGCTGGTGCAGCTCTCCATCCATCTTTGTAGGGGAGAGCTTAGTAACCCCAGGCACCGCTCCGACCTGGGGACCTGGGAAGGTATGCAGGCATAAAAGGTAAGAAAAGGCAGGGTATCTGGCCACCTGGGGGTGGGGGTAGGGAACTACAGCTCATCAAATCATCACCTGGAGTTCCAGCTTTCTAAACTTTGGGAGTTTGGCGGGAAGGGGTGTCACCGATCTTTCCAGAATCTACTAATAAAGCTATAATTATTTCACCAACGAAAAGCACAAACAGGGTTGGGGGGAGATGGAAGAAGATATAGGGAGGATAAATGGTGATGGGGTGGTAAACACAACATACAGGTGATGTATTACAGAACTGTACACCTGAAACCTATGAATTTTATTGACCAATCACCCCAATAAATTTTATAAAAACAAAAACATTTTAAAAGCACATGCAATTTCACCTAATTTTACAGGGTTCAGAGGCCCCTGAAGCCCATCCATTTATCAATTCCTCCCAGACACCCCAAAGTCCCTGAATTAAGAATAGCTGAGTTCATTGGAAATTACCTGAACTATGACACCTTTAGCCCCTACAGTATTTTTCCTTAAATAAGGCCTCTGTCCTCGTCCACAGGGTTACAGATCTAATCTCGTGTTGACAGGGTCTATTTTAAATGACTCCCTCTGTCCTTCTGCCATTTGCCTGCTGTTTTATTCCCCCACACACACCGCCCCCCCCCCCCCCCCACCGCGCTGCAAGCTTTCAACAGTTTGTTGCCTCTCTTCTCTTTGGGCTCACCCAGAAAAGTCCAAGCCTTTCCATGCCCAGTAGATACAAGCTACAGTAGGCAGGAACCCAAGGTTCCAGTGGAGTTCACGCCCGCTGGGAAACATACAATACACCCCCCCCCCCCCGAACGCGCCCAGCAGGGCTCGCTAACACCTTGGACGGAGCGGTGCAATCGCCGGCCGCCCCGGTGACTCCCGGGCGTGTTCCCCGGGAAACTCTGCCCTCTGAATTCTCCTTTCCACTTTACCCTTCACTCGCACCCGGCAAACGGCTGCTTCGCTGTTCGCACGAAGGCGGGCGCGCCTGGGGAAGCCGGGAGGCTAGACCCATAGAGGGGATCAATGTCACTACCGCGCGCGGCCAGCCCCCCCGCCCCCCGCGGCAGGAGTGTGTGTGTGCGACCGGGCGATGACTTCCCTAAGAGTCCTGCCAGCGTGTGTGGCAGTAGCCCGGGCGGCCGGGCGCGCGCGTGTCACTCCGAGCGAGAGTTTGGACTCCCGCCGGTTCTCCAAGTTCCCTGAGTGAGTCAGCCCTGGAGTGGACACGCCTGCAACCCGGGCTGGGTGAGCGAGCGAGCGAGGGTCCCCGGGGCGAAAGGGCCCCGGACTAGGGGCTGGCCGCACCCGGGGGCGCCTCGAGAGGGGTCCTGAGCGGCGGTCCACGCGCTGCGCCCCGAGCGCACCTACCAGATGAAGTCGGTGCAGTGGCTGCAGAAGGTGGGCTGCTTGAAGAAGCGGGCGATGAATTTGTGGTCCTTCACCTCGTGCACGTTCTTCTGTCTCAGCGCCCCTTTGCGGGCGAAGCGGTTGGCCACGTCCTGAGGCGCCGTGGAGTCGTTGGCCGGGAAAACGTCAGCCATGGTCCCCCCCAACCACCTCTTGCCTCCGCCGGGGAGCAGCAGCCGGGGAGGGCCGGGTGGGCGGGGGCGAATCAGCGGGGCCGCGAGCGACCCCGGGCGCGGAGCGCGGGCTGGTGGCGGGGGGCGCTGCGAGGAGGGGCGGCGGGAGCCGGGAGAGTCGGGCCGGAGCGGAGCGAGAGCCGGAGCCGGAGCCGCACACTCGCTGGCTGGCACCACGCTCACTGACAGCCCGGCGACCCGCGCTCGCGCTTCCTACTCTCAGCAGCAGAGGCGGCCCGGAGCGGCGCCGCCCACCGCGCATGCCCCGAGCGCCGGAGCCGCGCGTGAGTGCGGGGGCGCGCGGGCGGGAGCGCGCGAGGCGGCGCGACGCTGCGAGGACGCGCCTGCTGGAGGAGTTAGAGCCTCAGCGCTTTCGGAGCAGTGCAAAAACTGGAGGCGGCGGCCTGGGGAGAGCCTGGCCGATTTTGGGAGCGGAGGCGGACGCTGGGCGGGGCAGACCCGTTTTCCTCCGACACTTTTTTCTTTTTCTTCCTTTTCCTCCTCCCGCCTCTGCTTCCGCTCCTCTCTCTTCGCCCACTCTTCCCCCGTTTTCCTCCTCCTACTCCCACTCGCTCCCTCCAGCTCCTCGCTCCTCCTCGCTACTCTTCGCTACTCTGTTCTCTCCAGTGGGAGGTCTGCGCGGCCGGTGCAGGGCCAAGAGGAGCCCAGGGTCCCGGGATGGGGCTCCACGCTGCCTCCCCTCTCGCTGCCTGGTCCGACCAGCTCCCGCTTCGCGCCCACTGCAGCTGCCCCTCCCTGGTTTTCCAGGTTTTTATCAGCTCCTACCGATCTGAGGTTTCACCTGGGTAAACCACTCCAACTGTGTATGCCCTAAAATGCCCAACCCCCAGACCTTCACGCTGTTTATACACGGAGAACAGGAAAAAAGGGAGGGATTTTAAATTTCACTTACATGTGGGACGTAAAACTGAAATCCATAGACACAGACAATAGTATGGTGGCTACCAGAGGGAACGAGGTTGGGCAGTAAAGGGCAAAAGGGGCCAAATGTATGGTGACAGAAGATGATCTGACTTTGGGTGGCGGGCATACAATGCAATATACAGATCATGTATCATAGACTGGTACACCAGAAACTCATATAACCTTATTAACCAATGACACACCGATAAATTTCATTTAAAAATTAAAAATGAATCATAGAATATTGACCCTTTCACCTTCCTCCAATTGTCCTATATTTCAGCTGCGCCTTGTTATAGACCTCTGGTTTGCACGTAGGTTAGTTAAAAAGGACTTGTCTTTAGTTATTTATCCTCTTGTTGCCTGCCACAGTTATGATGTGGATCATCAGCTTTTCTTGATTTTACAAGTCCAGAATTTTAATTCAGAAATCGTTTGCATCTGAGCTAATTACTTCAATTTTGGCAGGTGCAGCCGGCACGTGTGTAAATCACCAAGTAAAACGGCTGGTGAAAGGGTAGCTTGTATGCATATGGACGCATGGGACACGTACTAATAAATATTCAAACACTTGTTGAATATTTATTAGTTCTGCCTGGAGGATGCTAAAATACATAAGGGAAACAATCATCTCCCAGCATTCCGTTAGTGTTTCATTTCACAGTCAGATTCACTAGGTTCACAAATTGACTTCACAAGCTGAGGACATCAAGAAAGAGAACGTGCCACCTCTCACCTGTCAGAGTTTCTATCACCAGAAAAATCAACAAGTAAGTGTTGGCAAGGATGCAAAAAAAAGGGGACCCTCCTGCACTGATGGTGGGATTGAAAGTTGGTGCAAACACTACGGGAATCAGTATGGAGGTTCCTCAATAAATTAAAAATAGAGCTGCCAATAGACCCAGCAATTGCACTTCTGAGTATGCAAAGAAAACAAAAACTCTGACCCAGAAAGATATGTACCCCCAGTGTTCATTGCAACATTATTTACAATAGCCAGGATATGGAAGCAACCTGTGTCCATCAATAGATGAGTGGATAAAGATGTGAGATATGCGTATACATACACACACACACTGGAATATTACTCAGCAATAAAAAACAATGAATTCTTGCCACTTGTGACAACATCGATGCACCCACAGGGTATTATGCTAAGTGAGGTAAGTCATACAGAGAAAGGTAAATACTGTATGATTTCACTTATATGTGGAATCTTAAAGAAAAAATGAGTAAACAAGCCAGAAGCAAACTGTTAGATACAGAGGACAAGCTAATGGTTGCCAAAGGGGAGGGAGGTGGAGGATGGGTAAAAAATAAAATAAAATGCCATTGACATTCATAAATACTGAAAGAAAGGAAGGAAGACAAAAAGAAAACACATTGTTTAACCCTTCAAGAAGTTAAAAAAAAAAAAGAAAATAAAGCTTTTGTAAGATATATACTATCTTAAAGCATTCACATAGACCAAGTCAGGTTACTATTTTTTTAAGATGGTCTAATTGAATGGTAACTGATAGGAATGGCTTTTATATTTAAACAAGTGTAAGCTGTTGACTGGCCATTCAGGGGCCATGCAATTTGCTGGCCCACGTCTAACCTCTTGAGCCAATGTAGTTGGTACTTAAAGAGACTGCACCTTCTTGAAACTCTATTCGGTCAGAAATTTCACCACTTGCGGTGGACTCCTCTAATCCAAGGAAGTTAAAAAAAAAAAAGGCAAGGAAAAGAATGGAAAGCAGAGTATGTTGGGAAAGTAGATCAAATTCTCCACCAAACACTGTATGCATCCCAAGCCATGGTTGTTAATTGCCTAATAATCATAAATCAAAGAGAGCACAGTAGAATGAAACACAGACTACTTTCCTCACAGCCATCTTTATCTAAACAGAGGTTCTCACACATTTTATGAAAACGAGCTTCTTTCTACTTCCGAGAAGCCTTGATGCCACAGTGGAGGAAGAATATGGAGGAGGTGGAGGGTGGAGGTGTTAATGGTAGAATCCCTGATCAAAGTCAATAGGGAAGATGAGCTACAAACGAACGAATGGACCTTGGCAGCAGACTGCTGGAGATGTGTGTACAGAGTGACTGACTGCAGCAGTGAGTAGACCAGATGGAGACAATATATCTCTTCTTTCAGGTTGTGGCTTTGCCTTCTTGACTCATGTATTACTGTTATTCCTTGTGGAGAGAACTAACCAGAAGTTTGTTGATTGATAGCTGGACTGAGCTTGAGTGGTCAATTGCCTATAGCTTAGCTCAGTTGTAGGGGTGGGGTGGGGGTGCACCTGGAGCAGGGAATTATCAAGCGGTGTGACACTGCCCCTAGCCAGTACTGATGGGAATGTGAGCCACAGCTGGCCCATGCCGCCCACCTGAGAAACCCCCTCGGTAGCATTGAAGCGGAGGGGAAGCAGGAAGAGCCACTGCAGAGAAAGTGGTGTTACGTGGATAAGTAAACTTCTTCAAGTCTGTATTTCTCCATCTAAAAATTGAGAGATTCATAACTACTACCCTACGGATTTCTTAAGAATTTAACCAGATGATGTAGAAAAGTTTAGTAAATCCTAAAATCTTGTACGAATGCAAGGCACTTCGGGTCCTCCTTTCCTTTACCAAGTCTGCATTTGAGAAAAACTGAGTTGAGGGTTCCCATCTCTAAGCCCATTCTTCCTCCACAACAGTGGCTATGAATTAGGAAGCAAGAGCTCACAGATGGAGGGAGTATACAAATTTTACCTGCAAGTCCACGTTTCACACTTCTAACATCACTCGCAACCCTCGCTTTTCAATTGCTTCTTGGCGAAGGTCCTAATGCTTGGATTCTTCGAAAATGCAAGTTGCACAAGGACCCAAGCAACTCCCATTGCTTTCCATTCCCTCCAATGGGAGCAGGTACTTAAGAGTTATCTCGTGGTGCTTTTCCGAACCTGGCTGGGGAGAAGAGTTACCGATTCTGATGAATCCTGTTTTGTCTGTCCCCTGCCTTCTCTCTAGACAATAAAACCTTGAAACAAAGCAAAAACATCAACACCAAGAGGAAACTTTTGAGGTAATGTCTATGTTCATTATTTGTTGGTTTCCTAGATAATTCACATATCTAAACTCACTGAATTTTAGACTTCAAATATCTATAGTTTATTGTAAATCAATCATACCTCAACAAAACTGTTACTTTTCAAAGCCAAATAGCTAAATGCACTATTTATGGACAAACTGGAAATCTAGATAAAGAACCAGTTGGCCCTCACATGGGGCGTTCAGCTGCCTTTCCCTTGGGGGGGGGGGGGGGGGGTGGCAGGCAGGGAGGATAAGCCCACTCTGTCCAGTAGGCATGAGACTCAAGTTTTGCTTCATTCCAAAAACACGCATTGAGCTTCAACTCCACAGCAGGCACTCCTCTAGCCCCAGAAATACCAAACAAAGAAGACCAGCTTTCGGCCTTTCAGGACCTCAGCTACAAAGGAGAGTGGTTCGGATGTGGGGTGGGGTCTCATTTAAAGCAGCAGAGCTGGGCAGAAAGAGGTAGGTAAAGATAAAAGAACATCATTTGTTTCTCATGTCCTTCAACGGGCATCGAACAAAATGCAAGTCAGAACCTGGGATGAGACTCTTCAATCCTTCCTTTCTTCTTTCTTCCCCTACCCCTAACATGCACTCTGACCTCCCACATTCTCAGGAGCACCTCAGAAAACCCTTACCCTCCAGAAAATGTTTTCTCCTCTACCCACAGCTAGATCAGCTTTGACTCGCCCTCCCCCCATTAATATTATTTTTTGTACTCTCTGTTGTTTTACCAATTTTGACAAGACCGCTCCCTACCTCTCCCGTTAGAAAAAGTCCTTCTGTACTCTTCCTAGGACCCTGCATGACAAAAAGTCTAGGAACTGGTTTAAACAGGATAAATTAGGGTGCAAGTGAGCATCGGGATAGCTGAGCAAAGTGAGAGGACTGGCAATTACCAGATTCTCATCTATCGATTCAACAATGAAGGCCAGGTCCCGGAATATTCATAGTGTGTGTTTACTGTATATGGGTGCAGCAGTGAGCCAAACAGACATAATCTCTGCCTTTATGTAGTTTACATTTTCTTGGGTGATTTGAGTGGGAGAGGGAAGTTTGTGGGTGCTTCCACCCAGCAAAATTTCACACATCACTTATGCTCCCTTCTACTTTCCTGATACCCGTCATTTCATATACAGTCAAAACTTTGATCTTGTCTTAGTTTGGATGTTTCATGCTGTACGCGGTAATGGAGTGGAAACAGCACACCTCCCCACAGCTGGTGGAAAGCGAAG